CTTGTGTGCCCGCGTTGGGGCTCCCGTGTGTCTCTGTGTAATTATTGTATTGCGCTCCGGTGTTAGTCTGAATCCTTGGGAAATTTTCTGTTGAATAAGTATGGTTAAAATCGTTTTTGCGAACATGACTTTTTCGATTTTTGCAACGCTAATTGTTCGAGAGGCGCTACTGTGCGTCGTCTCGACAGGATGTGTTTGGCCGTCCCGCACTGGATGGTGGTGCCGATCGTGGCCAGGAAATCCATTCCCAGGATCAGGGGTTCCAACATAGCCGGCATGACGAAGAGGGGCACCTGGATGGTCTTCCGAGCGAAGGTGATATCGGCGCGCAGGAGTTGTCGAACCTCGACTCGCGAGGTGTCGGCCAAGTTAATTTGGGTGCGGATCTCCTGAAACTGGTGTCGTTGGCCAACTAGGTTGGCGACTTCCTGGCTGATGAAGCTCTTCGACGCGCCAGTGTCGATGGTGGCCAGACGTAGATGGCCACCGATCTCGACTTCTGCGGCGATCCTCCCTCTCTCGATTCTTAGCGGCGCGTTTATAAGGTGTTCGTTGCGGGATTGGTCCCTAACGGACTCCGCCGGTCGTGGGCCGTTTCCCGGCTGGGGTCGGGAGAAAATGTGTGACCCCCACCGTGGGGAGACGGACGGAAGGAGGGGCTACTCGTAGGTGTTGAAATTGCTTGGGGTCGCCCTAGACTGCGTCGTCTGACGGCTTCGAATTCGGTCGCCAGTTGGGCCAGCTCCCCAATTGTTTGAAACTCGCTGCGCCGAATGTACATCTGATATTCGGGTGCGATATTCTCGTACAGGCGGTCGAGCTCCTGAGTCTCGTTATAGCCCGCGTGGCGCATGAGAACGCGAAGGTCGAGCATATAATCTTTAAAAGTTTCTTCTCCTAGCTGCTCGCGACTCCGGATTCGGTCGTCCAAGCGCTGGAGGTACCTGGGCGGGAGGAAAAAATCGAGGAATTCCCGGCGGAATGTACCCCAATCAGCCCCTTGCAGGCGGCTGGTTTGGAACCACTTGTCGGCTCTGCTCGTCAGCAGTTCCGCCATGGCTCGAGGAAGGAGTCCTAGGTCGATTCCATAGGACAAAGCCCGACTTTCGACCTGTTCGATGAAGGCCAATGGATCGGAATACCCATCAAACTGTAGGCCCCATTTGCGGATCCGCTCTGGAACGCACACAAAGTCGCGACGAGGTCGGTCGTAGCTCGGCTCAGAGTAGGCTTCTCGAGGGGTAGTGAAAGTAGGAGGGGCGGCGACGGCGAGGCTTGGGGCGGTGACCGTGAAACTGGGAGTGGTAACAACAAAGCTAGTTAGAGGAACTGGAGTAGTGGAACCGGGGGCGCTACGTGGGCGTCCCGAATTTGCATTTTTACTCGTGGAGAGACCACTGGGTCCCGGCCGCTCTTCTCCCTGAGGCACAGGGCTCGGGCCCCGAGTGGTATACCGACGCTCCAGGTCGGCGAGTCGAGCCCACACTTCCTGTGGTTGTTCGGATTCCTTAATCAAGGTGATAAAGCTCCGCCGTAGGTCATCGATGACCCCGTCGGGAGAGAACCCAAATTCTTCCGCAAATGCTAATAATTCGGCCTTCGGGCGGGAATAGATCCACCGCGAGGAAACCCCAGGGTTTTTAAGTAAACGTGGAACGAATTCACCGGCAGGTTTCTGGTCCGAATCCATGGCTTCTATTGGTCCCGTTTGGCTGTCTTCTCGTGTGTTTGTTGGATCAGGTAGCCTTGGCCGCTGGGGCACTTTGCGTGAGTTAAATGTCTGTTGGCACTAACACTCGATCGCGTTGACTTGGCGGAGGCGCGGATGAGCTCGTGGGCTCCTGGACGCGGCTACTGGTGGACACGGTTGTCGCTTGTCGCGGTTACTGAGCGGTGCGATTGAAGGTGTTATTTTTCCTGGATTTTAACCCAATCCCGTCCCTGTTCGGGCGCCACTTGTAACGAATCTCTCCGGCCGGGATAGATCCCAGTCGTGACCAGGGATCCTCTTCAAGAAATTTATTTAGAGGGGACGGAAATATCTGTAGGAAGTTATTATAACAGCGTATGGGGCCCGGGTTGCGAACTTGTGCGCACTAAATTCCGATCGCCGAGGGTCGGCAAGGTGGATGCCGGACGATGTGGTCACTAGATTCCCCAGGAGCAGGCGGGGCATACGCGCTGCTTGTCAACGGCCGGTCGCCGCGCTGCTTTTATCGACTCGTCGATCTGCTTGATCGGTCGGTCCCTGACAAAAAGCTGCTCATCGCGAACTGCTTTAGGCACTGCTTGCGCCTACTGCTTGGGTATACTGCTTTCGCCGGTGCGCGGAGTGGCAACTCCGGTGGGCTCCTGGCGGGATTTGCCTGAATTCGCCCAGAATTCGGACGACGTGGGTCGGGGGAATGGCCAGGGCGTCAGAGAGGCGTTAGTCAACTCCGGCTGGGCACGGAGGCTAGCTACGGGTCGGCCAGGCCGAGTTTCACTTGTCACCGTGCTGACGCACGGTGCGCGGAATGGCCAGTGCGGGCGGGGCGGCAGCATGTGTCGAAGTGTCCCTAATCTAGGAGTGGATATGGGGGCGGATGCACTCGTAGTCGCGGCGGTGCACGGTGCGTGGGAAACCAGCGCTGGTGTGGCGCTGCGGCTACGGGCACAAGAAGGGTCCCCTAGCGGGGCGAGGACAGAGGAGCACGTATCCTCCAGTCGCGGCGACACGTTGAGCCCGGAGCGCGGCGGCGGTAGGTACGACAGAGGGTTCCTAAGCTGGGCGTGGACGGAGGAGTAGGTGTACTCCAGTCGTGGCGGCGCGCTGTGCACGGAAGAGCCGGTGCTGGCGTGACGCTACAACTGTAGTTACGACCGAGGATTCCTAGCTGGGCGAGGGCAGAGGAGCAGGTGTCCTCCAGTCGCGGCGGCGCGCTGTGCACGGAATGAGCCTGTGCTGGCGTGACGCTGCGGCTGTGGGCACGGGAAAGGATTCCTAGCTGAGCGAGGGCAGAGGAGCAGGTGTCCTCCAGTCGCGGCGGCGCGCTGTGACCAATAATACTAGGGAAATACTACTACGGGTAGGTTCGATTGTTAGTTTATTGTTATAATTTGTCTAAGGCTGAGTCCTACTACTGCCTCACAGAATTTACTCCTGCAACTTCCGAATCTATCCGACGTGTCTGCGGGCGCTTAGCTGTAGATCGCGGTTGTTTTCTTGTCACTGATTATGTTGCGTATATGCGGGGGCTCTCGTAGCTGGTGTCGCGGTGTGGGCGGGTTCGTCATAGCTGCTAGCTATGCATAGCTATAAAATAGTAGTAGATATGTTTCTTTTTATATATAATATACATTTAGTTTTATATTAAATAAAAATGTATTCCGAACATAACATTTTTAAGACAGCTGAGTAGCCAGCGATAATCCTTACATATTTAAGTTTAGTCAAAAAGAAAAAATGTATATTATATATAAAAAGAAACATATCTACTACTATTTTATAGGTTGCCTTGACTTATTTGAAATTTGACAGCAAATAGGAGTAGATAATAAAACCAAAAAAGCTGTTTTATTCGTTTAATAAATCCAATAAAATGTCCTCATGAAAACGCTTTAAACCGAAATTAAAGAATACAATGAACAATAGATTCAATGAATATTTAAAATTAGTTCCATATAAGATTTAATTCTCAGAATTGATTTTTCATCACAGAAATGTTGAAAATTTTGGGAGTTTCAACTTTGGCGTCGAATTCCAAAGACATGGGCAATGGTTCACGATTGGGACTATTTTTTAGTAGTGCCGCGATGTATTGAGAGTAGGTCCTACCAAAAATAATAAAGGTAAGTCCAATTATATAGGCCACGTAATTCAAAATGTCGGCAAACATAGGTTTTTTGTATTCTTAGGTATACCGCGGAACCTGTAGGTGATGGAAAATAATTTTGTATGGGACTTTTACTCAGGAGCACCCAAATATCATGGAAAACTTGAAATGGTTCGTGGAAATTTCACAAAGTTTAATTTTGTGTTCCTGTGTAATTGAAGTGGCTTCAGTGCCGTCTTACTACTTTAAATTACAGGCTAGTTATAACATAAGGGGGGATTATTTGTATACTTAGTCTCTATGCTTATTTTAATAGGCAGGGTTGTGCGCCGAAGGAATGGAGGCGTCACAACCTTGCGTATATAGTTGATTTGAGGCACTTGGAGTTGGAATTCGATAATGAAACTTACACAGTATATTCTTTAAGTAACAAACTATTTTTTAAACCAAAAAAAATTTTGGTTTGCATGTATATCCCCCCTTAAGCTAATTAAATGAAATATACTGGATTGTGTTTGATTAAAACAACATCAATTTGATCAAACACGGTACAATTTGGTTTTTTAATATACCTTTTAAATCTTTTAAAAATTCCCTGAATTAAAATAATATAAATGTCCCTACATTCCGTAGATACCAATAGAGTATCGCACTATATAAATAATTGTAAATATTTGTATTTATATATTTTAAGATCGATCTCTGACTATAAGATATTTAACCATTGTAGTATGTAAATTATATATGAAAGGCAGCTTGCGGATCAGCAGCTCGGTACTCTTCCGGTAGCGACGGATCTCACGCAGAGCCACAGTTCCGGGGCGATAGCGATGGGGCTTCTTCACACCACCGGTGGCTGGGGCACTCTTGCGAGCGGCCTTGGTTGCCAGTTGTTTGCGTGGCGCCTTGCCACCAGTCGATTTGCGAGCGGTCTGCTTGGTACGGGCCATTTTAGATTCTTCTTATTTTCACTGTCTGTTCACTGTTTACTTCACGAGTCTGAAAACACAATAAACGAGCTGCGCATTGCCTACCCTCTTATATAGCAAAACGTGGAGGGTGGAAAAGAGAGAGCTAGTCGAAGCACATGCCATTTCGTTTGTCGAGCACAGAGCGAGAAGGCCATAGCGTTCGGGCTCGCTCGTGCAGAGCAGAGTTTAGGTATAAATAGGAGCGGCCGACGCGGCTTCTACATTAGTTCAGTGGTGACTTTCGAAGTGTAAAAATAAAATAGTGAAAAATGACTGGTCGCGGTAAAGGAGGCAAAGGCTTGGGAAAAGGTGGCGCCAAGCGTCATCGCAAAGTGCTGCGTGATAACATCCAGGGTATCACAAAGCCAGCCATCCGTCGTCTGGCTCGGCGTGGCGGCGTGAAGCGCATTTCGGGACTCATTTACGAGGAAACCCGTGGTGTTCTGAAGGTGTTTTTGGAGAACGTGATCCGTGATGCCGTCACCGTCTACGCCCTGAAGAGACAAGGCCGCACCCTGTACGGTTTCGGCGGTTAAAAAATCAGTACAGTTTGTACTTCTCAACAATCGGTCCTTTTCAGGACCACCACTTAATTTCATAAAAGAGAAAAATTATCAAGTTATATTTCGCATATATCTTAACATTGAATATTCTAGCCGAAGAATGGAAATATCTTTATTTGAATTGGTCGGGGTTTCCGTAGGAAGACAATCATCTTTAGGTAGCGTAAACTGTCTTGCAATGACAATGTTCATTGTCCATGTCCTGGAATTTCTCTGACGACGACTGTACTATTGGTTTCTGCATAGCGATAACCAAAAATATAAATATTATATGTATATTTTATATATATAAATTTAAACTTAGCTAGGCATATTTGAAAATGTAAGTTTCTTTTGAAATAGTTTGGTCGTCCTGAAAAGGACGTTTGGGTTTGAGTTTGTTTTTATGTACAAGGTTTCTGGCAAAAAGTGAGCAAAACCTCACAGAGGATCCTTAATTCAGATAGTGACTGAGAAAACAAAAGCGAAGTGAGTGAGACGGAAGTCGTTGAAGTTAAAGCCGCCGAAAGGCAAATGGCTGCTTATGCAGCCGCAAACCACCAAACAACAGCAAAAGTGAACATCAATAAACAAATGGAAAATGAACAAGAAAAAACAATAATAACAGAAACAACAAAAGCAAATAACCAACAACCAAACAATCAAACAATAAAAAGTAACCAGCAACAACAACAAATAAACTATGATTTAATCGAAGTTATAACATCCCAAACACAACCACCACAACAACAACTGCAACAAAAAACGCAAATTCAACAACCAAAATCACAACAACTAACCTACAACACAATCAAAGTGCTAAAACAACAACAAAAAACAACAAGTGCCTTAGGCAATTCCAGCACTAAAACAGTGCTAGGGAAGCGCCACAACAAATACAAAACAATGACTGATGCAAAAAAAGCATCTCTAAAAACAAAATCAAATAGTGAAGACTCTGAGTCTGAACCCACAGTCCATATAATGGAGGTGGATATTGAAACAAACAAGCGCCGGTTTGAGACGACGTCGGAAGACAGTGATGAAAATTACGACTCCAGTGACAGTGAAATGGACACTGAAAATGAGACTGTCCCAAATGAAGAGTTCGAGCTATTAAAAGAAGAACTTAAAAAAATGAAAAGTGAAATGCAACAACTACAGAACCAAAACCAACAACTACAGAACCAAAACCAACAACTACAGAACCAAAACCAACAGCTACTCAAAGCAAACGAAAACAAAACCAGCAACAGCAACAACAATAACAACAACGCCAAAAACAACAACAAAAACAAAAATGCCAAAAACGACAAAAGCAACAACAATAACAACAAAAATAGCAACAACGATACAACAAATTATTATCTGCCAATAGCAGACCAAGAAGAACCCTCAACCTCAAATGCATCGAAGCCACAGCCAAAGAAGACAACATCAACATCAGCTACAACACCTAAAACAACACCAACAACGAACACAGCACCAGCCGAAGAAGAGAACCTGCAGAACCTGCCGGTAATTGTTATCTACAACTTAGATGCTAAGAAAATTAAAAACCTCATACCATTTAAGCACACCCTAAATATAATAAATAAAAATATTATCCATATTAAAACATATAAGCTAAAAAATCTAAATGCAGCAAAAAATATATTAACAGGCAACAAAGCACTGTACTTCACATACACGCCAAAACAACTAAAACCACACAACATTATAATTAAGAAAATACCCCCAGAAATATTTGACAAAAATGAGATTAAACAAGCTTTAAATGACATAATACCTGAACTAGAAATACTAACAGTAGAGCCCTACAAAGAAAAATTTTGGCTAGTTACTATTAAAAAATCACAAAACATAAAAAACATATATAAAATAAAATATATACTAAATTGCAAGGTAGAAGTAGAAGGGTATAAACCCCATCCCAATCACATAAAACAATGCAAACGCTGCCAACGTTTTTCGCACGTAGCTAGCAACTGCAACATGCCGTATAGGTGTGTCAAATGCCTAGAGCCACACAGCCCAGGGCAATGCAAGGTCAAAAAACCAGAAAATAATGAAACACAAGCTTTAAAACCTAAGTGTGTAAACTGTAAAGGAGAGCACACAGCAAACGCAAAAATATGTCCCTTCAGGAAAAGCCAAGTCGAAAAATTAGCCGAAAAGAGAAAAAATAATGAAACAAAAACAAACAACCAAATCGTCAAAACAACCCAAATAAATAGAATAACCCCAAACAGATCTTTCTCATCTCTATTCCCAACCAATAATAGCACGAACATAAACAACAACAACAATAATCAACAAAATAAAAACACTCCTAAAACAACCATAAATACAATAAATGATGATACAAAGGAGGCCTTTGGAAAAGACCTAATCACGTGCATAGAAATAATGAAAAATACCTTATTGAACTATCCGAAAACGAACAATAGTGCTGACAAGAAACTAATAATACTAGAATTTATATATAACTTAGCACAAAAATAAAGCATGAAATGCATTTTTCTAAACGTGAACGGACTAAAGCAACTGCGAAGAAGAGCAAAACTAAATGATTTTTTAAATAAATATAACCCGGATATCATGCACATAGCAGAACACCATCTACAAAATAACAACCAGGCCATGCTAAAAAACTACAAATTTATCAGACAAACCACGATCACAAAAAAACATTAAAAAGATAATATAGTAGCAATCTGCATGAAAAATAATATAAAATATCAGCAAATATACATTAAACAAACAGAAACAATGGAAGTAATAGCCCTAAAACTCTTCCACAATAACAAAAACATAATAATAGCAACCCTCTACAATAGACCAAAAGACCACCTAGAAACCAAAGACCTGGATTTAATCTACAATAGGCTCAAAAATATTCCAACCACATTACGATATAAAACACATAAACCAAGCAGGAAAAATACTACACAACTGGATTCTAAATAATCCAGACCTAATCATATGCACACCCGAAGAACCAACCCATCCCGGTAGAAAAAATAACACAACAATAGACCTGTTCATTCTTTTAACAACACAAATATTAATAATCATAATGCAAGGTGATAAAAGACTACCCGTCAGACCATCATGCAATACAAATAACAATTAACCACCTCAAACAAAATAGACTCATAAGAAACGAACCAAAAATCATCCACAATTTTAATAAAATCAACACAATAGCCCTAAGTCATGCAATACTAAAAAATCTAGGCACTATACCCAATAACAAAAACCAAAACATAGAAGAAATTGACAAACATATACAACAACTGATGCAATAAAAACAGCCATAGACGATCCGAAAATCATACCAAAATATAAAATCAATCCAAATACAAACTGCATAGCACTAGAACTAGGAAGAAAAAGCAAGCAACTTATACAGCAAAAAAAGAAATTAAGAAGACTGCTACAACGTAAAATGCAAACCCTAACAATAAACCAAAAAAATCTTATAAAAAATAAAATACTAGAAATAAACAGACAACTAAATGTTATAATAGAAAACAAAAAAATTGAAATAATCAGCAACCGCCTAAAAAATATTAAAACAAATAAAATAAACCATAAAATATTACAACAAACAAGCCCACACATAAGAACACAAAAACAACTACAAACAACCATCATACTAGATAACACAGAAAAACAAGAAATTGACTTCAACACAAATAGCACCCATCTAACAACAAATTTTGAAAAAATCAATGGATTAGCTTGGTCCTTTGAAAAAATACACAAACAAAACGACAACATGACACTAGCCAGTACATCACTAAGAAACCATAAAACAGAAATAGAAACATCAATAGCACAAATAACTGAAATAAATAGCACAATAACAAACTTTAATGACATCCAAACAGCAGACGGAGACTGGGAGACAACACAGCAACCCATATTCACAACTACAGAAAAACTTTTCAACATAATTAAAGAAAAAAATAATAAAAAATTTACAGGCCCAGATCTAACAAGCAATTATCTATTAAAACATTTTAACATTCCGATCATAAAACATATAAACAGGATTTTTAACCACTGCATAAATCACTCTTACTATTCAATAGAATGGAAAAACAGTAAAATTATACCAATCCAAAAACCAAAAACAGACCCACATTCACTAAAAAGTTATAGACCCATAGCCATCCTCTCAGCAATAGGCATGCTACTGGAAAAAATAATAGCACAAAAAATCAAGGCACACCTAAAAGAAAAAAACATACTAAAAAACAATCAATATGGATTCAGAGAAAGTATCTAAATAAAGCACGCACTTCTGGACGCAAATAAATTCATATTCGACAATATACACATAAAAAGAAGCACAATAGCATGCGCCTTAGATTTCGATACAATATGGATTGATGGTCTAATCCATAAAATGAAAACACTAAAATTTGACAAAAACACATTAAAAATAACATCTAGATACCTAAAAAATAGAACATTCTATGTAACAAGCCCAAACAATGAAAACTCAATCAGAAGAGACATAACGGCAGGAGTTCCCCAAGGATCAATCCTGGGACCAATCCTATATAACATCTACCTGCACGACATCCCTGAATACTTAATAAATCAAAACACAACAGTTAGAATAATGAAACTAATATATGCAGATGACATATTAATACTAGGATCAGGAGCACGCATGACCAGTGTTGAAAATGAACTAAATAGCCACCTAGACAAGCTGTCTGAATATTTTGCCAAATGGCACCTCAAACTCAACACGAGCAAATGCATCTGCTGCACTCTCAAAGGCAGGAAGCTAGGAAATATATATAAAAACCACAGACGCTACAAGCCAAAAATCTACATAAACAATAACATACCTTGTTGGAGGGGGGCGGCTCTAACTCTGAAATGCACTCGAAATAAGAACACGTAGACTTTCGGGTTGTTTCGCGACGTGCGTCGGATGTCTTTATTTATGCAGAAGTAAATTGGTACTAACTATACAAAAGAAACTAAAGCTAGGGAGAGCGGATTGGAAGCTCTA